ACAATGCGCCCTTACCAAAAACTCGAGGCAGTGCAGCCAAGGGGTGGAGGAGGTAGAAGAGAACAAGGCGGCACTGCGATGAAGATGTAGTGAGCGATTTTGCGACGGCGAGCAAGAGCGAGCTCATCGGAGTTGCTGCGGCTGCGGCGGTGTAGCTGTGAGCGAGCGAAGAAGGCGAATGAAAACGAAAAACGAGCCGAACAGGTCGGGCGGTATGCTGGGGCTTAAGGCGAGGAGGCGGTGTGCGAACGCCGCAGTAGCGTGGCTGGTTCGCGCGAAAGCAGAAGACCGGCGACGCGCGGCATCCACGCGGCAGTGATCTTCTGAACCTGTCGGCACTGTAGCAGTGATTCAGAGAACGAAAGGCTGACTGACAGCGCCAAAATACGAGGCTCGATCTCCTAATCCGTTGAGTGTTAGCGAGAGAAATCAAAACGAAAGTTGCACACCTACATGCCAACTACAAAACTCATTTAAGGATCACTGTCTAATTCGCAAAGGATAGAGAGAAAAATCATGCCAAAGTCGTGTTCAAGAAACTGAAAACTGGAATTTATACTTAGAAATTGCGAAGTGTTGAAATCAACCCAAATTCTGACTTGTGGGACCATTTTGAGCATGTTGTGCACATTTTCATGACTTGGTCACAAAATAACTTTTGTTCCTTATGTAATTTGCTATAACTTTGTTTTAGGTTGCTCTGACATGCAAACATTCTAAGTGGTACTTTTTAAACAGTCAAACCAAAAAGTCCTAGGGTCAAAACAAGTCAAACCATGATTTGAAATCTTAATTGGGCAAAATGATCAACATGAACATTGTTCCTAACGACTTTCTAAGCATAGCTAAGATGTTTAACAATATATTTAGCTATACCACACATTGGTCATACAATAATCAAGCACTAAAGGTACTGAAATGATGAAAACACTTGAAATGATACTCTTATTTCCTAATCATGTTTCACATGTTTCAAGGCGATGTTTCAATTGTTATTCACATGATTAAGCATGTATGAGTTGGATGCTTGATGATGCATGATATGCGGGATTTGCAGTGCCTAAATGCAGGCATAACACCGGGGTGTTACAAGGAGCTTGACGACGGTCGACGGTGGCGCCGCCGCTACTGGCCGCCTGGCGCCCTGGCCTGCTGGGTGCGCCGCCAGCCGCCTGCCGCGCCTCCGAAGGGTTAGGGTTAGGGTTAGGAGCGAGAGTGTGAGGCTCTACGTGCGGACGTGCGGTGCGACTCGATTCGATGCAGGGAAGTGAAGTGGTGCGGGTGCGGGGTGCCGTGGTGGACTAGCGGTGGTGGGTTGGTGGGCAGTGGGCCGGTGCCTGGTGGGCTGGCGCTGAGCGCTCACGGCCTTAGCCTGCCATACGAGAGTTTCTCGGTACTTCGATTCGGTATGGCATAGAAACCGAAGCCGAACACCGAACTTCATAGAATTGGAAACCGAAACCAAACCGAAAAATCGAACTACCGACTATTCGGTTCGGATTCGGTTCGGTGTTCGGTGAAAAAGCGCCCAGGGTGATACAGAACTTCCCGTTCCAGCGACTCGCTGCAATGACGGTGCACGCACGGGTGGGTCAAAAGTACTACGTGATGGACGGCGCTGTTACATTTGGTACGCCGTACGCGCAGTGCAGCACCGCGCCCGTGATGCGACCGTGCGTCCGTGCCGTTCTGGCCGCTTCTAGCCCTAGCTGAAACGGAACTCGGCGCCGGACAATGTCACGGGTGAGATCACCGCCTAATTAGCCCTTCAGGTCCCCCGTCGTCCCCGGGCGCGGCGAGCGTGGAAAAGAGAGCGACGCGCGTGCCATCGAACGTTCCGGCCGACGGATCCGCGAGACCGCGACACGCTCGTTGATATTTTTTCTTTTGGCTGCCGCCGTCGGAGCTGGGAGGGCCGGGGTGCGCGCGGATATTTCTGCCTCGCCATCGCCAAGGGCCAGGGGCCGGGTCGTGGTCGTGGCGCCGGGAACTTCACGGGGGACCCGCGGGTGGCGAGATCGCGAGCAGCCACCCACCGCGGCGGGCGGGGGCCGGTAGGGACCCCGGCGCTCGACTAGTATTTTTTTTATCTCCCGAGCTTTGCTCCTCACCGGCCGCCACGAGCCTGACATCCGCAGCGCGATCGTATCATGGCGGCTGGTAGAGGGTCGCCAGCGCGCACAGCTGCGAGACAGCCGGGATCGAATCGACCGAACCGCAGAGGCAAAGGCACTGATCTCTCGGCCGGTAGACCGACGGATCACGCTACGATCGCGGATAGTTAGTGGAACTCCTAACAGTAACTAGCTAGGATCACAGAAACGGCGCAGTGTGTCACCAGCGACAGACACTGGCACACGCTGCTACTCTACTCTACTCCCAGTACCAAATTACTCCTGTCTTGGATGTGGATGGTTTCGGGTTTCCTTTCCTATCATCACCTGCGATTCCATTTCCACCGATCTGGAGTACGAGTAGGGCCTTGTTTAGTTATCCTCAAAATTCCAAGTTTTTTCACTCTCTCTCCATCACATTAATTTTTAGCTGTTTGCATGGAACATTAAATGTAGGTAAAAAAAATAACTAATTGTACAGTTTAGTTGGAAATCACGAGATGAATCTTTTAAGCTTAGTTGGTCCACGATTGGACAATATTTATCAAATAAGACGAAAGTACTATTATTCATCGGATTAAAATTTCTTTCAATCTAAACAAGGCCTAGATTTGTTTGCTGCTATTGCTAGCAGGAGTAGAGCATTCAATAGAGACTTGTGGCGGCTGCTTCAGGCTCAAGCTTTGGGGCAGCAGCGCCTGTCTCAGTGACCGAGTACAGCTGACAGTGAGGCAGCCAGCAGCCAGCGGTGGAGACAGGCTGACAGCGCCACGCCGCTAGCTCCAGCCTTGGCTTCCAAGATTGGTAGCTCGATTATTCGTCCAGGGGCGCGTTTAGTTCCGGCCGAAGTTGGCGTCGTCTGAAAAGCGTACTGTAGCATTTCGTTTGTATTGGGTAATGATTGTTCAATCGTTGACTAATTAGGTTCAAAACGTTCGTCTCGCAAAGTATAACTAAACTGTGCAATTAATTTTTGATTTCGTCAACATTTAGTACTCCATGTATGTACCGTAAGTTTGATGCGACGGAAAATCTTTTTTTTATAGTGTCAAATTTAAAAAATTGGGGGAACTAAACATGACCCAGGTAGACCAAACAGGACGCGATTATATTCGTCCAGGTCATCAACCAAACAGGACGCCTTTTCTCTCTCTCGAAAACCGCCGACCGAGGACCCAGCGGATCATCGCGCGATTGTTAACGCCGCAATTTGGTGGCGGGGGATGAATGAATGGATGGTACAGGTCGCGTACAAAAAGATAGCTCCGTTCCGTTTGGTGGCTGCGATGACTGGACATGCAGGAAGGAGGGGCAGGGCAAGCGCAATCAGTGAGGAGAGATTCCTTGCTGCGATGTTGTTTAAGCAGGAGCAGGATCAGTCAGCACTCAGCAGAGGCCACGCCGTCGCCCCCGGTCGGCACTCTGGACGGGGTTGGCAACCAGTGCCAGACTGCCAGTGTGTGTACGCTCGCGTGGATCTCTCGCTTGTTTTGTTCCGGCCTGCGTGCTCCTGTAGCTCTATGTCCGCGCCGCGGCGTTGCTTCGCTTTCAGCCTTTCAGGCAGGTGCACATGAACCCAAGGCAAAGAACGGAGAGCGAGCGCGGCAGACTTTGGATACAAATATCTTCATATTTATACGAGTAAAGCTTTTCGACTTAGAAAGTGTTCGGTTGTCATTATAAGCCGGTTTATAAGTCATAACATAGTATTTTTCTCTCCCAACAAATCAGCCGTACAAATCAGCACCAACGGCTTTACGAGCAGCAGATCTGAGCCTTAAGTCAGAAGTTTTGGTCCACGCTAGTTGAGAAGTTTGTCATGCTTGCTTCAGTTCAGTAGGGACTATGGGACACGCGTATTATGCTAGGCCAACATGGACCGGCCTAGCCATCCGAATTTTGTTTCACTGCCACTAAATATATGGTATAATAACAGTAATCTACACTCGACCAACATATTGAGGCTTGAGGACACGTTTGGATGCACAAACGACTCGCACAAAAACTAGGGCAACAAAAACTAAGGCAACAGAACAGGACATCCAGACACATTTTGTCTTCCACTTCTCGGTGGGCGAAATCCACACTTTTTTTTTCCTTCGGATTCTTGCTGGGCGAGGTGAGGGTCACTAATAACAGAACAAAAAGCACAGCCTATGTGGCTATGTCCCTTCAAATACGGCCTTGTTTGGTACGGCTCCAAACAACTCAAACTTTTGCTACAGTACATGAAGCTGGAGCTGGTAAAACAAAAAATAGTGACTTTCCCAGTTCCTAGTTCATTTTAAGAGAAAGAAAAACAGTTCATTGTAAAAATGCAGAGCCAGAGACGTCCGGACCTCTACCGTCGGGACCTAAGAGCTTCAAATACTCCAGGTTCCGCGTACCAACACTCCATGCTTCCATTCTAGAATAGAACCCCTCCCCACACAAATTTTGTACCTTATGATAAGATATTGGGGCGGAGTAAATCCTGAATGGTCAGACAAAATATACTGATCCAAGAAAGCAGCATATCACTGTTTGAAACATGATACACGTTTCAACACAACATTTAAAGCCACAAAGATCAACACTACACAGAACAAATCTTCGTAGAACCCCCAGAAGCCTCACATCTGTGGCATTCCAAGAAATATGCTGAATAACGAACTTCTTGACTTTTCTGCTGATGAACAAAAACTTTCAATGCTGTTAGTGATATCCCCTAACTGTTAGTTCTGTGAGCAAAAATGCAGCAAAATCAGTGCCTTACATCTCCCCTCAGATGAACTCCCCTGTATCAGTAGTATGATTTCCTTGGATTGTTCTGCAGATATAGCAGAAGTATTAGGCAAACAGAAAGAGCAGGGAACTCCTGGAAGCAAGCAATGGCAGCCAATATACCAGAGGGTTCGGCCTATAGCGGTATCCAAGCATCATTCGCTTCTTGTATTGCTCGTAGATGTCATCTTCAGAGGTGACCGCACCAGGCTGGACCGCGCCAACACCAAGATGATCCTTCTTCACATCTCCAGCCATAATGGGATCTGCACGGCCTCTTCTCTCGCTACCAAGACCCTCACCTGCAGAGTAAACTATATGTAACACCTGGAAGTGGAATGGTGCATAACTGCAAATATCTCTAACTCCCTTGACTACAGGCCCAACAAACAACTCCCACCAGTGTTAGGATGTTGAGAATCAATGCATGCAACACAATGCTAAGGAAAAAGAATCTATCATAGATAGTTCTTATCTGGAGTTTGGGATTGAAGGCTTTGTTCACAGCAAACTATCACATTATTGAAGGTTTGCTTGATGAACATAACTAAAACACAGAGAGAGATGGATACAGGCTAGACACCAACAAATAAAAGCAATGATGATCAGGGTCCAGATGGGTGTTGTACTGTTGTCATAAACTTAAACATCAATCAGTCATTCAGCCTCACAAATACCGTGGACTTTTAAATTTGATCTACCATTCAAGTGGTTATAGTTTTGTTTTAAAGTCAATTTAATGATATAAAGCAATTTATTTTTGAAAAGAAAAAGGTGACAAGGTTTTACAGAGAATTACTGTAATGGTAACTATGTCATTAAGTACTCAGGGACTAACCTTCCCTCCAACCCATCTTAGATAGAAGTTTGTGCCCAATATTGTCTGCCTGAATCTTAGCCTTCTCGGCGGCTTCTTTGGTAGCCTTTTGTGCTGCAGCATCATTACAGCGTGCCATGAACTTTTCAAGTTCTTCTGGAGGAATGAAGTCACCCATGTGGTGTCCCTTCTTAGGAGGACCTGCAAAACAAGAATTAGTAGTGCTGGAATAAACATTGAAGTTTCTACATTCTTTCAACAAGGAGAATAATGTTGCAGAGGTACCTTGAAGAGAAGGAGGAGGTGGCATTTCATCTTTCGACTGCCTTGGTGGCCGCTTCCGTTCTTCCTGTGCAGCCTTCTTTGCATAGAATTCCATCAATGCTACAGGATCTGACGGTGGAGTCATATGATCACCTGCAACAAGATTAGCTACCATTGAGCACATATACTAACAATCAGACAGTCCAAGTTGGAAGAAGATGGTTTTTATTTTTGAAGCAAACTATAGATCAGGGAGACGACAAGCATAGGGTCTCGGTGTTTCACAACAGAAACCCTACAACATATCTATCGCATGCATTAAGCCAAAAGAATGAAACAGAACATTCACAACATCAGAAATAAGAAGATACTTATAGGCAATACAAGTGCAAGACACAGATGACTTGCAAACTAAAAATAGTAACCAGGTGAACACAGTCCAGTAACATAGAGAAAGTACTCCCTCTATTTTTGTACATGTCGTATTAGTTTTGCCCTAATAAGTCAAACATTTCTATCTTTGACCATCAATTTAAAAAAAATTGTGAGGTTAACAACAAAAGATTTATGTTTTTAGATCACTATGAGAAACACTTTCATAATATATGTTCACAGGTTCTGAAACTACATGGATTTTTTGAAATTGATGGTCAAAGTTAGGAATGTTTGACTTAGGACAGACCTAATACGACATGTAAAAAAAATGGAGGGATTAGCTAAATAACATATGAAAAAGACAAGGAAACGGGCAGACCCAGTGACGGAGGTTCCCACATGAGTGGGGTCTGGGGAAGGGAAAAAGACAAGGAAACAATGTATGCAAATTTTACCGTAACTAGAAGAGCTTCCTTGGGAAGAACTACCCTCATATGCACCATACAAAGCTGATGCAGGTGTCTGATAGTTAGACTTCTGTTCAAATGAGCTTCTATGTGTACCACCTGGTGCCTTGAAGCTTGCAATGCCAGAGTTAGCTGCATTAACAAGAGCATACAGCATCAAGACTTGTACAGAAGTTAAAATTATAGAAAACAACAAAGAAATTGTGCCACGAACCACTTTTTGATGCTTCAGCCTCCTGTGACTGAGCAAGAGCCTTTTCCTCTTCAGCAAGCTGATACTCATAATATTTGTAGTCTGGACAGTGTTTGTCAAATAGAAACCTGCAAATGACCCAAGAATTATATACCAATAATTCTTAAAGTCAGAGATTGAAAGTAAAATTGAACTTATTGAGAAAAACCACAACAAAAAAACAGATAGAGTTGGTAAGAAAAAAAGTAGCTTGTTCGTACTTGAATGGTGTATCTCCAGGATTCCTCTGCCGTGTGATATTCTCAAACTGTCTCCCATTTTTGGCAACAAAGCTTGCCAATTTGTCAGCGACTTGTCTCACTGTCATATCATTTGGTGGGGGTGGGGCTGCATGTCACTTAAAGAACTGATTAATATCAAGCGCATGACAAGGCAATGCAAATTACTGCAGTAGAGCCTCCAACTCTCTCAATCACATCCTTCCCAGCAATGTCAATTTAGTTAATCTATAAGCTGCAGTCATAAGAAAAAGACAAAACCTTCACGACTTTCTGCTGACAATAGCGACTGATAATGTATGCAGATGCTGAGGAAGATGTTTTTTTTTGTAAACCTAAGAATGTATGCATCATACAAAAAAGGAGAGTTTACAACACCTTGGTGCAACAGCAATCAATTTCCATGGCTATTTCTAATCTAAAAAATAAAACGTTGTTGGTCAATTCCACCACCACTAGCATTGCAATTTGTAGCTATCAAGATTCATTTTTATCACTTGTATAAATGCATGAATTCAATATTATTATGGAATGTTTAGATGATACAAAATTTCAAGACCATAGTTTTGAATACATGAGAAATAAAATAACATTGATTGTGAAAAACACCATATTTTACAATATATATATAAAAAAGTGGCGTATTTGGTGGTTTTCGGTTAGTAATTTTCGTTTAAGATCAACTATACATTATACTATATAATCTAGCCACCACAGGAATCCTAAATAAAGATAGATACATAGATACTACTAGCTTTGATACATAGCAACAGTTTATATATGGAAGATCGAAAGAGCCTAAGGTAAGCCTGTGAACAATCCAGAATGAATGTACACAATACAACTTTGTACATTAGGAATGTGTTTACTAATAGTAGTGCACGAAATTTGACAGGCCAACGCCGCATAACTCGCATTGGTGAGAAAGTAAATGTGAGGCGTGCTTTTTTTTTTTTTTTTTTTAAATAAAAAGATGTGTTGAATGGGTTTTTCTTCAAGAACTCCAAATAACATGGTACTTGGAATCCTAAAGTTTGTAAAACTAAATTGCTGTATCCAAACACCTAGAAGCTTTAAATCCTATGGTATATTTTAGAAACCATACAAAACCCAAATATTACCGACATCCAAACAGCCCTTTAGTTTCAATAAAAGTAGGGATCTAGTTAAATCAGTATGTATAAGAAAATGAAATGCAAACTATATAGATATTACTTAGTTTCACTATCAAATTTTATCGCAGTACTGCCAGGACAACACCATCAAATGGATGGAATAGAGAACTCTACATGGAAACTGATAATACAATCATCTGCACCAGGGTAATACTTTAGGAATGGAAATCCGAATTCAGAACTCATTTCAATAGTAAAAACCTAAGGTATGTCACATGCTGAAATGATTTGCATCAAATTCAATGAGATTATCTAAATCCGCAACTGAATTGAAGGGAAAAAAACACTATTTGCATGGAAAGCTAAAAGATAATATATCACCAATGTTCTAGCTCGGTTACTGAATTAAAAGTCTGATAACATGTTTGCACCTAATCATTTGATGGAAACTACAACCCAAAACATCATCACTAAACGAGTTAATAGTAAAACAGCAAGAAATGGATAAATATAAATGATTACCAACAGCCCCGGCCGGGGCAGCTGCCGCAGGAGCATCAGCTTGCACAGATTTCTGGCGCTTGGCGGGCTCCTCCCTCTCCACATCCACGGCATCCTCGTCCTCATCATCGGCTGAGAAGACAGGTGCAACCGCGACTTTGGCCTTCTTGAGGCTAAAGGCCAGCTTACCAGCCGAGGCTACCGGACCAGCCTTCTTCAGCTGGATTGGCCTCTTGTTCGCCGCAAGAGCAAACCCCTGCTTTGGGTTCGCATGCTTGGGAGCCGATGAGGCAGCGGCGGCAGCGGCCTTCTCCTTCTCCTGCGCCTCCTGCTGCATCTGCTTGAACCTCGCCATGAAGGAGCCGTCGTTGGTGAAGATCCCCTTATCCATGGCTCGGCGCAGATGCTTCCGCGGCTCTTGCTTGCGGCCTCAAACAGCTACAATTCTTTCAATATCCAATCAACACACCACCGTCGTCGCACAAAAATTCAACAACTCTTGCTCAACACTAGAGCACAACTCCTCCAGAATAATAAACTCGAATGTTGCAAAAACAAAGACGGTACGAAACTCCGCCGCGGAAATTTGCAGGGGGAGGAGACCCGGATCGGTGCGCGAGGGCTCGAATCGCGGGATCAGATCGAATGCGTGGCGGATGGAGCAGTAATTTACCTGATGCGGCCGAGGGAGGATCGGAAGGGGAACCCTAGACAAAGAGGGGGGAAAGTATCGTGCGGGGTGGGGATCGATCAGGGAAGGAGAGAGAATATGACGGCGGCAGGATACCGATTCGCCTTCCGCGTCACCGCGTGCGCAGGTGCGTGTTCCTGCAGAACCGGGCCCGCCGGGTTTACGGGTTCTGTGGCCTTCTGGGGTCTCTGGCAGGCCGTATACTTTCTCTATTTGATTTGAAACTATATAGTAATATAGTATATAGTTCGGAGCAAGTTGTTTTAGCTTCATTCTAAATCAAAATTTCTACCTTTAATCAAGTTTAAAGAAAAATATACAAACATCTATAACCACGCTGTTCGTTTGATCGTATGTTTTTCTCTCACAACAAAACAGCATCAGCCGGCTTATAAGCCAAAGAAACAATCAAACGAACAGGGTGAACGACCTCAAACAAGATTCATTACATATACCATGAAATATTTTTGATAGACTTTAACTAACCAAAAATGATTTTGTTTTAGAAATAAAACTCTACTTTACTCAAGAAATACTAATATAAAATATCTCTCCTTTTAGTAGAAATGGGAATACTTGTGTATCTCTTTTATAGAAAACTATAAGAAATGTTACAGTTACGAGGGAGGAACTCATAAGATGACTAACGATGTATATATGCTCAATCAAACTAGCCATTGGCTATTTCCACGGACATTTTTTTTTCAATTTGGACTATATAGTCTTGCATGCTTTTTTTTTTAGACCCTACCCTTAAGAGTATCTTTGAAAATCTTAATTAGACTGAGACACCTCGAGGTTGATAAAGTCACAAGAATGCCACAGTTATGAGGGAGGAGCTCGTAAGATGCCTGACGATGTATACCCAATCAAACCGGTCATCGGCGGACTCAACGGATAATACTTTCAACTTGGACGATAGTCTTGTATGTTTTTTTTTGCGAGAACCTACCCTTATGAGTAACTTTGAAGAACTGAATTAGACTGGCAAATCTCGAGATTGAGGAAGTCACCCAAGGCCCCGTCAAATTTTGAGATAAATTCAAGAAAATACGAGCATCCATGTCAAGTCGAGGACTTGAATCCAGATGAACATGTTCCATCACAAAGCACCCACATCAAGTTGAATACTTGATAAGAATAATATTATGTTTGAACTTGGTGTTAGAGTTGTAGCCTTGTCCTATTAGAGTTTATTTCATGTTCTTTTGATATAATTAGGCTAACTTTTAGTCAAAGGTAACAAAGTTTGAATTTTAAAATACGTGCATGCCTTATATTCGGAGTCGAAGAGAGTATTTTGGGGTTCATCACAGTGCAATAAATATAACGCACCGTTTTTAACGAACCAAAATTCGTCACTAATTCACCGAAAAAAAATATTTATGACGAAAGACGCTTTTACCACAACAAAAGTAGTTCGTTACCTACGTGCACCTGTCTACTAGTGGATCCCATCCACATGACATGTCGACCGTTCAAAGCAGGATCGTAATATATACCTCATTGTATATAGTACATATTTTATTTATAAAAGTAGAAAATCACAAATGAAATATGGCCACTAATTGTTATTCCCTGTGTCTCAAAATAATAATTTTCTAAGGTTTAAAATTTATACCAAAATAAATTATATTTTTCTACACAACCCCTATTGAAATCGAACTAATCCAAATCCAATAGGAATCAAATCAAGATAAACATATGGAACATTGTCTCCTAATATGGAAGCTAATCACGGGTGCATGCAAACAATAACTGCCAAATACCATAGATATCCTTTGAAATGAAAGGAGACGAGGGTATATACGTCTTTTGCTTGTGTCCTTAACCTGTTTAAAAATCTATATAAATTTATTTATTTTGGGATGGAGGAAATATACATCATATTTGTGAACTACTTCAGAATTAACATAATAATAATTTTTATAAAAGCATTCTTATTTCTGCAACAAATTGTACTTCTCGCTAAAAAAAATAAGTTCAACACAAAACGCACTATATCAACGAACAAAGGATCCACGTTATTGAGGATTCCATGGTTTAATCAAAATGCAACGCGGAAATAAACTCGCTGCAGTTCAGGTACAAAATAAAGCAGACAATCGAGAAACATGCACGTCTGACATATCGAGAGACATGGACTTAGTGCAAAAATGATCTTGCGGATTATTCCTTGTAGTGGATACAGCTATATATCGGTGCTTTGAGTTTGAGATGCACTTGATTCTTTGTGTTGGGGATAACAAGGGGCCGTCTTCTACTGCTAAGGACTAGCATTCTAAGCTTTGAAATGCGATGACAAAATCTATAGCAGCAGTATGCCAGTATCCCTCACATGCTTGGCCCGTTTTTTTCTAGGCGTGTGAGGGATTTCGGGAACAACATCGAATCCATCCCCGTCCTCCATCTCAAGGTCCGCCGGAGTCTGCTTACCATCAGCACGCTTCCCGGTACGAGTCAACGAAGTGCGACTCGCCGGCGGCGGGCACCATGGCGTAGTAGAAGTCCATCACGTCGCGCACCGCGTCGGTCCTCCGCATGGTGCGGGTGAAGCGGTGGCCCTTGAGGTCCTGCAGCGTGACGGCGATGAACGCGCTCGGCTTCATCGCCAGGAAGAAGTGGACCCGGTCCCCGTCCTCCATCTCGTAGTCCGCCGGCGTCTGGCCGCTCTCCACCCGCTTGCCGCGGAACAGGAAGGCACCCTCGCCGCGCGGGACCGTGGGCACCATGGCGTAGTAGAAGTCCGTCAGGTCCTTGAGCCTGTCGCTCCTCCGCATCGTGCGGGTGATCGTGCATGTGCATTGCTCGATCCTGCTGTCGTCGTCTCCGGACGTTGTTGCTTCTGCCGCCGCCACCGCCGCTAGGTTTTGCAGCCGTCGTGCGCTGATTACGGCTCCTATTTATAGTAAGGTCTGGCCGTCATGCGCGGCTCGGTTTTACGAAGATTCGGCGTGCAACCAGTTTTTTTTCTTTTCTTTTGAGTAGCCGGCGTGCAAGTGCAACCAGATACCCACGAACGTGTCAAGCATCCTTAGCCTCGTAGTATTTCAGATGCCCGATAACATTAGACGTAAGTTTGTAACACCCGTACTTGAACTGAACAGACACATGAATTATTATTAGGAAATTAAAGCGGACCGGCCAGACATCAGATCCTCGAAGAAGTCGATCTTGTCCCCGTTCACCATGCCGAGGTCCTCCGGCGTGCTCTCACCTTTCAGCCGCTTGCTATCGAACACGAAGCGCCCCGAGCCCAGCGCCGCGCGTGGCGGCACCGGCAGAGCACACCACGTCGTAGTAGTACTGTAGTAGTCCATGAGGCCCTGCAGCTTGTCGGTCCTCCGCATGGTGCGCTTGACGACGCGCCGCTGCGTGTCCTGCACCTTGAGGGCCACCAGCATCACGGGCTTCACGACGATCACTCTGCCGTCTCCATCTACCAACTTGAGGACTCGCGCCACCCGCTCCTCCTTCCGGCAAGGGGACACCACCATGCCTGCAGCCTGCTGATCGATCGACTTTCTCGATTGATCGGTTGTGTTTTCTCACTAGAGACGACTGCGCCTTGAAGTCGCTATCGTGAAGTAGCGCGTCGCGTCAGGAATGTGCTTATATAGGTTCTCACTGCCCTCCCATGTACTCCTTCCTAGGATTAGTGGGGTAACGAAGCGACTCCGGCGGCCCGTTTCCAGCAAGCGGAAGCGATTCCACGCGAGAAGAAGATAGTGCAGTCATGAATTCTTGCGCACTCGCTATACAGTCTTGTAGTAAATGTAAATCTGGCGTTTGCAACGGTTCATGAATGGCATCAGTGTTTTGCCTGAATGGCATGGCACTCGAACCGATCGAGCCGGGTTCGCCCTTGCCTATGCATGGCACCAAGAACAACGTTTTGCCTGCGTTTCTGGATCTCACCGCAGAGAATTCAACACAGTACAGTTAGCACTAACACGCATGCGAAGCTTGCTCAAACGAAGGAGTTCACAAAACAATGTCTCAGCTAAAATAATAATATTTTAACTACATGAGACAAAATAGCGCAGCTTAAATTAAAAGTGTGTTAAGTTAAATAATATACTCCATCGCTTCCAAAATTATTTCTGTCACCATTCAAAAATTTATAGTTTTTCATCAAGCTTATATTTTTCTCGAATACACACAAGTGTACATATCATTGTATTAAGAAGAGAAGAGTTTATAATATAAGAAAGCGACCGTTGATCGCACGATCCTTAGGGGCTACATCTTGAAAATAAACAATTGTTGTTGCGCCATCGACAGAACACGACTACCTCCCGGCTAAATCACCGAGGCCGCTGGCGCCAGCATCAACCCAACGGTTGCCCTCATCCTTGATGATCTGAAGGAGCTCGGCGACAGTCGTCGTTGATCCCCGGAAGCATCTGGCATTGCACTCTTTCCATACCTGCCAAGAGAGTAAGAGACCAAGGCGGACATAGTATCCATGCGGAATTTTTGGGTGGTCTCACACGAAGACCGTAGTCATCTCCACCAGCTCAAGGTTGTTGATGCCAGTTGCGGTAATTGCCGGCCGAGCATTTGGAGGATATGGTGCCAAAGGTCCCGGGTGTACGAGAATTAGCAATGATGTGGTCAATCATCTCTTGCTCTTGGTCACACAGGAAGCATAATTCCCTAGCCTCCAGACCATGTCTCAGCCGCCTATCTCCTGTCCAATGGCGCGGCGCAAGGCAAGCCAAAGAAATATTTTGACTCGTTAAGGAGCCCAAGTTTTCATCAAGTTTATACAAATGACACCGACATATATTGTCAAATAAATGATATACATGACATATTTTATGGTTGATTCAATAAAATTATTTTGATGTTGTGTATATGTTTTGAGTATTTTTTTTTCGGATCCAATGGCGACATGGGATATTATCGATAAAGATGGTGCAAGCGATGATGCCTTCATGTTGACTTGACGGTTACGTCACGTGGAACTTGTCCACCCAGGTTTAGACTCTTAACTTGACTCATAAGTGTAGAATGTGTATGCGCGTGTATATACATAACGATAAATATGCATGCATGTATGTATGTGAGTATCTGCGTTTTGTAGAAAAATGTGGTAGAGGGCTCGTTGAGTATCTGATCAGATGGCGTATAGCAGGGATTAGTGCGAAGACGGTGTATGCAGCCTGTTTAGGCTGGTCTTTGTCAATAGTTGTTTCCGTTGTTTTGTTTGTTTGCTTGTGCTATTTTCGTTCAAAATGGCGGTCATTTTGGGCTTGAAAAGGAAACGGAGGGCTGGCGTGGATTTAGTTGCAACCGCGTTTCTTGGCCGAAAATGAAAACAAGACCGCACTCCACTAAAAAAACACATAAGACCGCACTCCACTAAAAAAAAATGAAAACAAGACCGCACAAAGGCATGCGTCACAAGGAAACCATTTCTGGAAGCAGGATATAGTTTTGTCTCTCCTTTTTGCTAAGAAAAGCAGGATAGATTTTAGTTCACATCACTGAAAAAAAAGACAATGTCTGGTTCTCAATCTCTCAAGACCATGTTGCGACCACTCGAAGCTTAAATATAAGTTATTAGCTGCCATCGATGTCACGATGACTTATCTACGAAACCATCATCAGTCCCCTTCTAAATCCATCAGCACCAGATCGAGCAGCAGTCCGCAGCGAGCTACGCAGGCACCGGCGTCTGTTCAGCAGCAGCAGCAGCCGCCCACCCGCAGCCACCGCCCATCATGTCGTCGAAGAAGTCGATCACGATCTCGTCCTCGTCCTCCATCTTTAGCTCCGCGGGCGTCTGCCCCCCTTTCAGCTGCCTGCCGTTGTACATGAACTTGCCCGTGCCGTACGTGACGTCCGGCACGCTGTCGTAGTAGTAGTCCATCAGCACCTTTAGCTTCTGGGTAATCCAAACTGTGCGCTTCACCTCGCGCCCATCCGTGTCCTGCACCTTGACCGTCACGTCCATCTTGATCACCGGCTTCCGGTCCACCTCCGCCGCCGCGTCGCCGCCGTCTGTTGCTCCCAGATCCCCGAAAAAGTCGATCTGGTCGCCGCTCTTCATCCCGAGGTCCTCCGGCGTCTGCTCCCCTTTCAGCCGCTTGCCGTCGAACACGAAGCGCCCCGCCGGCGCCGGCGAGCACACCATGTCGTAGTAGTAGTTCATCAGCCCTTGGAGCTTGTCTGTCCTCCGCATGGTGCGCGCGACGACGCGCCGCTGGGTGTCCTGCACCTTGAGGGTCACCAGCATGGCAGGCTTGATGGCGACCGCGGGCGCCATGGCGGCGACCAAGCCGCGCTCTCCACCTGCAAACCTGAAGGGCTGCGCGACCGGCTCTTCCTTCCGCCATGGGGACACCATGCCTGAAACCTGATCGATGATCCTCTTTCTCGGACGCGTTCACACGACAGTCGACTGAGTGCCGTGCAGTCGCTTTCGTGAAGTAGTGTCGCGCCAGGAACGTGCTTATATAGGTTTTCACTGTCCTCCCATGTACTCCTTATAGGATCAGTGGGGTAACGAAGAGACTCCGGCGGCCCGTTTGCAGCAAGTGGGAGCGATCCCATGCACCAAGAAGATAATGCAGTCATGAATAATTGCCCACTCGCTCTACACAGTCTTGTAGTAAATCTCCAATTACGTTTGCAACGGCTCATAATGGCATGATTGCGCAAATGTAGGAGTTCACAAAAAAATGTCTCAGCTAAAATAAAAATATTTTAGCTTCATGAGACAAAATTTCGCACCTTATTTAAATTAAAAGTGTTTCAAGTCAAATAGTACGTACATCGCTTCCAAAATGTAATACCTCTCCTTTATTTTTTTTATTTCATAAGTTAAGTTTCTTGAGTTTTGACAAAGTTTATAGAAACCTATATATATCAAAGTCTGCATGAAAAATAAATGCACTATCATGACATGTATTTTTCGTGGCCGATTTAATAATATTAGTTTGATGTTGTAGATATATATTTAAGCATTTTTCTTTAAACTAGAATCATGCTCGTGCGTTGCACGGCACTAAAAATTGTCACGCTAGTTTAAATTTGACTGTGTGTTATAATATTACCAAAAATACTTTGAGCGAGATATTCACAACATTACATTTGTAGCTAGATCTGTCCTTATGGTTCATGCTCAATTAGAACGTAATTCAAGTTTTGACGTGATGATGTAAAATCAATACAATCTAGTTCATAGTGTAACAACTTTGTTCATCAAAACTATCTAAAGTGAACAACTTTGTTCATCAAAACTATCTAAAGTGAACCTGAGGAAATTATTTTCTACCTACGACTATGGGATCCAAAGGTGAACTTTTAGTCTGACATACTATTTGTCTGTGATGAGAAGGAAAATACAATCTGCTATGGACATACAAAATTCAGAAGGAAAACACTTGCCCTGATTATCATACTTAAGCCATTTTTTTTATTTTTCAGGAAGTTGATCTATTTTGTTACGTAATAAGGAGTTTATCATTTTTTTAAATTTTACTTTTAATTTTTTATTTTCCATAAATTATATTGCATATCATTATAATTGCTTAATTTGAAAATCGTGTTAGCCATGGATGCACGTTTAATGACTCTGGCCTGCCATACACGATGATACTCCTTCCGTTTGTTTTTCTAAACCGGACAGGCGGTGAAGAGTCCTCTATCCTATGCGTTGGGTAATTAAAAGTAACTAGTGAAGGTCGCGCGCCTTCGCGCGCGCCGGTGAATGAATAAACTCAGGTTTATAAAGATAGGGTTCATGAGACTGCATAACTGCAAAAAACGCTCATTCACATAATTAGGTGCCACGTTATCTAATGAAAATAGCTAAGCGCAGTTGGTGTACACATATATTACACATAAGCTGGTACGCCGGTTACTGAATTGTACAGGAAGAGTGGTCACTTGTCGCACAATTATACATGATATCTGTTATTTGAAAAGTTGCAGGCACAGTGTAGATGCAGGGTGAATGTACATAGGAGTGGAAATTTTGCACCGTGCGCTGTCTGATTGGCTCCAAGCGTGCATGGTAGAAAGCTTTTTTTTTGTTCCTATTGGCATCTGAGGTGCGCTTAGATTAGTATAATTGATGGTCAACATGTTTGCATGAGTTAGGCTAACTTTGTTAAGAACCAAGTGGGTTTACCTAACTTGATGAAGTTGTGGGAGGCATTGGTTTCAGATATATGTGTTCGATGACTGTGCTGAACTTGTTGGCGGCGTGGTTTGATGTTGGAGGCTTCCAAGTTTTTGTGCTCAACTCCAACGGCTTGGTTTTGCGTTTGGGGACTCAGTGTTCATATACGTGCAAAGATACTGAACCTGCATATGGAATGATGTAGAATTCTAATTTTGAATAATACGTGGATGTCCTGGAAATTTGAAAAGGTTTATAGACGGTACCTTGGATTCCATGAATTCGTCGAATAGTTGAGTAATGCTGGATCGATGATCTTGTAGGACAACAATAAGCTGATTCAAGGCATCTTGCAAATCACTGCTGTTCTGAACATAGTTGGCTGCCATGCTGAGTTCATTCTGTAAGTATATGAAGTTTTCATATACTTTTTCAGTGTGCGCTGTGATATTGTTGACACAAGTCTGGAGCAAAATGATATACACATTTTCATCATCATTAGAGCACTATTAGATTGAATTTGGAATCCGCACAATTGCTCTCAACACAAATCGAAGTTTGAATTTAACCAAGTAGCAAACTCACTGAAATGGGGAAACAAATTTAGGAAAATGTGGCTTCTTAGTTGAGAAGACGAGTCAGCAAAATCATTGAAAAAAGAGAGGCACATGGCCAAACTAAGGTGAGCCTAGGAGGTGAGAAAAAGAGGGACATAGAGTGGTGGCGATGTGCATATGAAATGCAGAGGTCAACACCATGTCATAGATTTTCAAGATGGAGGACAAATCTATAGATTTTTAAAAAGATGTAAGCAACACTGGAGGAAGGGAGCAAGTAACTTTATATGAGAAGTAGTTCTAACAATAGCAACTAACATTGTCAGTATCGAAAAATACTGCACACGCATACTGCTATGACTAACATTACAAACAGAGAGAAATCGTATCAAAGGAAGGCAGCCTGAATTGACAACCTGTTCTTTGGCATGGAGATCCAAAAAGGCAAATCTACATACAAAGGTATTGCCTACTGACCAGACTATGTTTTAGTTTGATGCTATCTAATTAGGGGGGTGTCTTATGGAAAAATAGTTCAGTGCAACAGAACTAATTCTATATGCAAGAAATGTATAAAATTCACAGGAATTTATGTATAACGTATAGGTAAACTAAACTGGAAATGGGGAAAAACGAATAAGCATTTCAGAGTTAAGCTGTTCACCTGTCCATCCTTTTTCACCTTTTGCTTGCTATCTGATTGAATGCACCTAAACACAATAGAGGGGCAGTCGATAGGGTTTATGATATGTACGCACAACAATAATAACAGAGAAGCATCGAAAAAGAAAATGCGATAATGGAATACCTGACATATACAGAGTAGTTGGCCTTAAGGCCAAAAAAAAGATTGAGATGGTAAACTAATAACCAACTTGAATCTAGGAACATAAATTTTACGGAACAAACTATGAGATAGCTGACAGTTGGATGAGTAAACGGAAGTTACACTCTGAGATAACTTGAACAAACTATGTCAATTTTTTAACCTGATAGCAGTACTTGTATTTCTGGTTAGAAAATGATCAACCTAATTTCGATAGCTAATGAGCGGACCCTGGCAAATTTGCAATATTGTTTTAAAAAAATTCACAAAGTAGTCCAAGAACATTCTATTCTGATAACATAAGGATCAATATAAGGAATTGAAACATAACTTTTTTTAAGAACCAGGAAAAATAGCAGGGGAAGCCCCCACTGTTAAATCAAATAAGAATGAATTTTCTGAACTTAGTAGGTACACTATGGATTAAAAAGGATCATTCCTTACTACAAATGAGACATCAAGCAGGTTGTCAACCTGTAAATTAATTGCCTTGTGGCTGATGTTCGTCATGCAGTTTTCTCCACGCACACCTTCCAGTGCGCACTGTTTTCATCCAGCATCATATTTTAAAGGGAGGAAGGTTAGTCTGAAATGAAAAAAAAAGAGAAAAGTCAGAAACATTGATTTCAAAAGGCTCTGAACCAATTAATTGCAGGAACCTGGTTGGTGCGTGGTGCGCGCGGATCGCACGGTGACCGGGTAGTGTACTAATTTGGTACAATTTTTTTTAGTCGTTGTGACCGGATAGCATACGTTTTTGGTATCATCGGGTAGATGATTATTTTAATATTTTTTTAGGTGTAGAGATTTTGTCAAACTAATATCCCAAATTATAAAAGTATTCACTAGTTCAACGCATATATTCAATTTCTATTTTTTCTAGCCCAACTCTATAAATTGATTTATTCAGAGACAAAGTAAGTAATAATGTCACTTCAATTTCTACGTTTTTCTAGCCCAACATGGCTCTTCAATATTTTGGCTTTACTTTCTAATCTGTCCAATATATCACTTTACAGGAAGAAGGGAGATGCTAGATTGCTAGCCAAGCTTCAACTTAACGTGCTCATTCGCCATCACCATCTTCCATCTAGCCCTCGGCCAGTTATAACAAGCAAAATGGCTGCCATGCATCCAACAAGTACCTCACCTTAGGCTATAACCCAACATGTTATCTATTCATCTCAAGCCAAATTTGCCGGTATTTGGATCAATATCTTCTTAAAATTGTAAGATTCATTTAAGGCAAAATTATCACTTAGTGTACAATGGCTATCAACTTCATTTGATGCATGTAAGATTTATTTTAGCATGTCCAACAAGATGCGATTAGCACAACACACATCCACACGCTGCTTTCTTGCTTGGCCTTGTTTGGGATACAAGATTTTTTTTCCTGTGCCTGTGTTTTTCGTATGAAATTGAACTGATTCCTTTAAAGTTCTTGTGCGGATGCTATAAAATTCTTACGTTCCAAACAAGCCCGGCGCCCCCACTATGTAAGATCCAAATAATTCTAATTTATGCACCGTAATATAGAGCATGATTTAAAAAATCTTAAACTGGTTTCATATTTTCATAAGCTAAACTATTTTAAAAAATCAAACCAGATTTGTGATTTTACATTTCGTTTATTTTTAAAAAATAAATTTTAAAGATTTGACTACTGAATTATCAATGTAGTTCGATTTATCTCCTTGGTGGCTAATGGGTAGGACGTTTGACTTTCCATTTCGTTGGGAGTGCGTTTCTCGCCGAAAAATGAAAACAGAACCCTAGGACATGCGTCATCAAATGATCAAAACGCTTCTGCAAGCAGGATAGAGAAGTTCATATCACAGAAGAAAAAAAAAGTTGGGTGCTCAATCTCATAAGACAATGTTATAACCACTCGAAGCTTCAAAATATTTTAGCTGTGTAACGACGCACAATAACTTTTCAGATTTATCAAAAGCATGCGTACGACGATATGAGCCGCGAGCTACGCAATCACCATCACCAGGCGTTCAGCACCAGCACCAGCACGTCCGCCGCCACCCAACAGCTCGGTGAAGAAGTCGATCTCATCCCCTTCCTCCATCTCGAGCTCCGCGGGTGTCTGCCCCCCGCTCAGCCGCCCGCCGTCGTACAGGAACCTGCCCGTGCCGTACGTGATGTCCGGCACGCTGGCGTAGCAGGGGCGAAGCCCAGTTATTGACCGTGGGTGCAGATGCACCACCCTGATTTTTCTTTTCAAGTTATAGTACTCAGATTTTGACCGTTTATGCACCCCCAAAGTCCAATAGACTGCACCCCCCGGCCCAGTGGCCCAACCTGCAACTTCGATTAAGGAAGGCATGGAGCTGCAAGATCGATTGTTTCTCGTAACCTCCGGCTGTTATTGTGATACGTCGTTCCATCTTCCGTCGTTCCGTTTCAGCAAGTCCGCGTCGTTCCGTCCTCTCAGCTTCTAGCTTCTGCAGGCCCGCGGCGCCCTTGCCTTGCTCTTGCGCATCCAGCGAAGATTGCCGTCACGGCGTCACCCGGAGGCCGGCTACTCTGAGCCTAGGACCGGCTCTGTCGCTGGAGTGCTCTGGCTACCCAACAGGACAACACCCAACAAAGCATCAAGGATTTAAGCCGGTATGAAACTAAATTAGATGCTCCCATGCAACCATGCATTTTTTTGTCTTTCTTAATTAATCTGATTTTATGTACAAATTAGGTCGGAATACGAGATTTTTTTTCTGTTCCTACATTTTTTCTGTGAAAAATAAACTATTTCTGAAATTATTATACACTTTCTACGAAATTCCTGCGTTCCAATGCGGGCATAAAAGCTATAACTGGTTATTGTTTTACTTTTACAATGGTCTACAGTGTTAGGCTAGCTATTTGTGTTTGAGTACAAATTTATATGTTCTTTTATTAGGCTGATGGAACGGTTTTCCATCCAAAACAAAAAAACCAGAGCCTGATAGTGCCAATAATGCCGAGAATTACAAGCAAGCGTTCTCAGAGAATGGTGGAGACTAAAAACGTGATAGATAGTTGAGAGGATTTTTTTTTCAGGGATAATGATTGTGAAAACAACTTTACGCAATCGCATTGGTGATAAATTTATGAATAATTGCCTTATTTGCCACGTTGAGAAAGAAGAGATGACGAAAGTCAAAAATAACACCATGGTTCGTCGTTTTGAAAATGCAAGGGCATAGATTTCTTAATCACTTAGTTTTTTAGTCGCACCCCCCTCAATTTTCTTATAGCTTCGCCACTGTGGCGTAGTAGGCGTCCATGACCACCTGCAGCTTCTGCGTCCTCCGCATGGTGCGCTCCACCATGCGCCCCTCCGTGTCCTGCACCTTGAGCGTCACGTGCACGCCCGGCTTGATCACCGGCTTCCGGTCCTCCTCCTCCTCCACGTCGCCGCCGCGCGCTCCCGATCGCATCATCGCCGATGAGGTCGTCGTCGAACGGGTGTGGTGTCGTGCCTGGATGTCGCGTTCACCTTTGGCACGGAGGAATGGGCTGAGACATGCATCCGTGTGGCGTGTGTGTGTGTTTATATAGGGCTATCCGGCTGTGGTTAATGAGCCGGGGATTCGCATCGTCACGACGCGTTTTTTTTTCTTGGTGCGCAGCAGTAACTACGCGTGCACCGAAGCGACAAAGGTCCATCTGCCGCTGGCGCTGCCGTTTCCATCCTTGAGGTTCTGAACTTCTTCTGAATTCTGATCAACTCTGCGTCGCCGTTGTCCGTTGGGCTGGAATGGGCCGCATGGCTAAGTACCTAAAAATCTAGCCTTCTAGTGCTTGCACTGGGCTGGGCTAGTACATAGCTGCAGGATCTCCTCCGCCGAAAAAATGTAACTGGACATATCGAGCAAACACTTCTGAACCTTGATACACATCTCCAGCTTGTTCTAAAAAAAGATACACATCTCCAGCTCCACGTTCTTCAGTAAATTAACTGACTGTTATTATTATATAGAAACAGAAACTTCACTGGAGACTACCGTCGAATCTATCTTCCACAGAGGAAGAGAATTAACAGAGCATCCTTTCATAAAAGGTTGAATCTTGTACCCGATAAAATAAAAAAGGTTGAATCCTAAAACACAGCCTCAGCTATATATTCACACCGCAGGCGTTGCGAATACGAGATTCGGTGACAAATCTCTTGTCTGTTACTCCTGCATAAAAAAACCATTGTGACATATGTCCACTCTCACTGGAAGGAAGCGGCATTCAAAATCTCTCGCCAAATCTCAGGAAGAAGGCTCCCGTGCCAGCATTGTGATCTACAACGTTCTGCGGCCCTTACAGCCCCAAGCTTGACACCAACGCCATAGAAAGACCCATGTCCGGCGCGCCTGAAGAACTATGTAGGGTTCCCCTTCACGTCCTTGGAGCTCCCGAGGTCAGTGCCATGCTCGGCAAATGCGTACACCTACGTCTGTCTGTTCTTCACGTCCTTGGAGCTCCCGTGGTCGCGCTTGGATTGTTGAACACTTGTGTGTTTGTAATTGTGCTTGCATTGTGTACCAGCTGTGCAGGACATTAGATAGGAAGCACAGGTCATAGCAATTTGTGCAAATTGTAATTGTGCTTGAATGTTACGATGATACTAGAATATAAAAAAGGCATTGCTGATATTTGAAAGTTCAGAGGCTGCATAAAGGTGTCCTTGTACTCCTGCTTCTAGTATCAAGTGCATATGAGGCTGCACAAAATGTGAACTGGCTGAACTATATATTCACCCATAAAACCAAAAGCTATACAATTCCATGCTGCACATATCTAAAAGGTCATCAATCTGCAAAGCATCACCATCAGACCAAAAGCTCCAAAAATCACCCCCTCTTACTAGAAATCAGCATTAAGATCACCGGTGCTTTCTCTCTGCAGAATAAAAGAACAAAGTATTAAACTCTTTACACATTTCTAGACATGAAAAATCATCACTTAGAAATATTACCATCAATAGTTGAGAGAAAGAATTGATAGTCAAGTATGGTTCAGTCATCCCTTCATTGGGCCATGAAGTGCTAAGAGGAATATCCTGTACTGTTGTAGTTTCTTGTGCCTTCCAATAATAGAGAATAAAAAATTACATACAACTGATCATTTTTGTTTTTTGTGCACGTACATACCGCTAAACCCTTATCCTTTTTCTTGCTGCCTTTCTTTGCAAATTTGCATTTCTTAAGCCAAGTTCTTTTGCGTTTTGAGGTTTTTGTTTGCACCTCCTTTTTCTTCGAAAAGACGCCGCCGCTAGGTCAAGCGAGGAGAGGGAACGGCTCCCCGCCGCCGCCACCACCGCCGCCGCCGACGGTCGACGGCAGGCCACCTCTTGGGCCATTTCCCCGAAGCCAGACAGGTGTCCCGGCTCTGCCGGCCGATGCCGGCGCTGCTCCAAGTGCTGGATGGAGGAGAACTTGCCATCCAAGGGTACATATTGTTGCTGTGGTGGTAATCTAACTGTGCCCAATCGTCTAGATGAGACTCGACTAGAGTAGATGTGGTGGTAATCTAACTGTGTCACCTTTTTTCTATACTAGGCTCGATGGGAGCCTGAGCTTAGCTTAACACTGGTAGAACCTCCTGCACAACAGATGCAGACACCTCTTGTTGATTGGGATACGCTACGCATCAAGGAAAGTCGAGATGAAGAGGGAAGAATTGAGATTGTTGATGATGAGGTGATGTATGAACTGTTGGGGTTTAGGGATGAGGATGAGGAGGCTGATAAGGCAATGAAGGCAGCCAGTAAAGGTTGCGGTCAACAGAACGATGATACTCAGCAAAGGACTGGGGAAGTTGATACAACTGGGGCAGCCATTGAAGTTGATGACTATTTACCAGGGGAGAGAACTGTGGTGATCCAAATCGGTCCAGTATGGATCTTGGCATAGTTTATCCTAACATGAAGGAGTTTAGATTAGTTGTCAGACAATTTGCTATAAATAAAGAGTTTGAACTACACATTGTCAAAACAGATCCAACTAGATACATTGTTGATTGCAACGGAGAAGATTGAACTTAGCATCTTGTTGGGCGTAGACAGCCTGATGGGTGCACCGTTATGGTACTAACTTGCATTTTGCATTCCGTTAATTTTTTCCCTTCAATAACTTTAGACTGGCAATGCTTTTTTTGTCCTTCTATATTGTTTGCCTTGACTAATTATTTTTTGTTGTAGGTGACAAAGGTTATTGATGACCATACATGTGAATCAAGTGCTAGTAGGAAGACTACCACACCAACCAGTGCTTGGGTTGCTTCAAAGGCAGTACATCATCTTAGGAAGAAAACAACTATGGACCCTAAGGAACTGCAAGATACTTTACAGGATGAGCACAAGTGTATAATTCATTATGACACTGTTTGTAGAGGTAGGCAAATTGCTTTGAGAGAATGACGAGTGGCCCCCACGGCCATGACAACGGTACCTCTTTGATCAGACGCCCGGAGAAGACCGGCAACAGAGCGATAGGGTCGTTCTTCAGGTAGAACCAATGCGAGTGCCACCCCTTGTTGGATCTGGAGAGCTGGCAGGGCATGTACTCGGCTGCCCGCTGCCCCCAGAGGTGGATGCCCGCGCATCCCATCGGCACCAAGGTCTCCCGGCCTCTCTCCTTCTTCTTGATCAAGGAGATGGAGAAGAAATACCTCTATAGCTAGAAGTGGAGCTCGATCCCCAGATACCCCTCGCACATTGCAATGAAGGCCACGATGTGCTGGATCCCGTTGGGGTTCAAGTGCTACAGCTCAATCTGATAGTGCTGTAGCAGACCCTGGAAGAACGGGTGGGGAGGAACCGTGAGTCCACGCTCATGGAAGAGCGTGAAGGAGATGACATAGCTGTCGGGCGGCGCCAGCACATCCTCACGACCGGGTACAAGCCACTCCGCTGCATCGGTCCTCCCGCAGAGAAGACCACGCTTAACGAGGCCCTCCATGCGTGTATGGGTAACATCGGAGTGGTACCACGAATCCATGGAGGATGGAGGCGGCGACGGAGAAGCAAAGGCGGCGGCGGAGGAGCGGAAGCTACAGATCTAGGGCTCCGACAGCGGATTAGCAAGCACAGCAGATCTGAACAGCAGCGGCGGAGAAATAGAGAAGGTAAGGCTACGGTTTTGGTGTGCAGAAACATGAAGGGGGAGACCGCTATTTATAGGGCAGAGCAGGGCGAGAAGGCGAACCGTCCGCCTAGGTTGACGCGCCCGCTGCGCTGCGTCATGTCAACTCCCTTCGAAGATCGTGCGCATGCTATCTTTGGCCGCGCCCTCGAAGGACACGCCAGATGACGGCTCGCACGGTCGATGGGCCAAGAACCGTCGCCGGTGAAGAGGGATACAGAGCTAAAAACGCTCATACGGCCCATTCAGGATCAGGAGTTCGAAGGCTGGCCCGCCGATGGGTTCACAGCCGCTCTAGGGCACCCTTAGAGCGAGGGGTTGAAAGGGATGGGTCCACTAGCGGCCAGTACCCGGGCGCACGAGCGCCGCGGGCATCTCGGTCCATGTTCGAGTCTTGGTTGGTTTCCAGTCCATGGTTTTTTCTTGAAGAAAGGCAATGAGCCCTTGGGACCAGCCGAACGGACCCAAGAACTATATGGATTGGCTGCTAAGAATCTGAAGTCGGTCTCTAGCTGACCCATGCCAGACCCCCATGAATGGGACGCTGGGGCCCCACTTGGACTAGCCTGTTAATACCTCACCGAGCATCATGTTTCGTCCATCGAAGAAAAAGGTGGCACGACTCAGCCCCTCCATTTTATCGAAAAAATGCTTGAGGGATGACGATCACAAAGACGAGCTGACCCTCGACCGGACCCCTGCTACGCGTGGGGCTCGAGGGATGTTGGACTCGCAAGGAGACCAAACGCGCGGTCGCAGTACGACGGCGGACCGATCGGATCCTAAGGGACCGAAATCAAGAAAAATCTTTCCGACCTCCCGAATCCTATGGTTACATGCCCCCAAGAAGACTGATCACGACAAAAAGGAATCGCTGTCCTATCAGGACACGCCGCAGGCTACAAAAAGAAGGCCAAGGCCCTCAGAGTCCCCCCGTCTAGAAAAGCCTCCAAAGGAGTATCCTACTCCTCCGTAGACTCGGGAGCTACTGTCGGGTATCGATATTAGGGATACCCGAAGCAAGGAAGTTAGCACCCACGCTGAATTCCCCGGAAGGCTCGAGACGTATTAAAAGGTCAAGCCCAACCCCAAGGCCGTGGGCTCCATCTCGCCCGACCTCAAGGCCACGGGCTCTGTCTCGCCTGACCCCAAGGACGCGGTTCTATAGGGTCAAGATGGCGACTAGAGGGGGTGAATAGTCATTTCTAAAACTTAATCGCGTCGGCTAACCGAAACAAGTGCGGAATTAAAACTATCGGTCTAGCCAAGACTACACCCCTCTATCTATGTTCTCTAGCACCTTGCAA